AAGTCAGAGAAAGACAAATATGGTATGATATCACTTATATGTACAATCTAAAAAAGTAATACAAACAAAGGTATATAGCAAAACAAAAACGGACTAACAGATAAAGAAAACAAACTAGCAGTTACCAGAGGAGAGGGGATGGGAAAGGGGCATGTTAGGGATATGGGATTAAGAGGTACAAACTACTTTGTATAAAACAGATAAACAACAAGGATATATTGTATAACACAGGGGATTATAGCCAACAGCTTGTAACAACTTCTAATGGAGTATAATCTGTAAAAATTCTGAATCACTATGCTGTACACCTGAAACAAATACAATACTGTATATCAACTATACTTCAATAGAAAAGTCTCCTTTTCCTATAAAATGTGTCTACTAAATTCATGCTTCTACTAATCAACTTGGTAAATATGAAAATGTATAAAATACTAAGATAATGTGTTATATTTAAATCATATTTAAATATAATAGTTTTAGAATAGTAACTAATTTATAGTCATTTTCCAGTCATCATTTTAACTGGTACCACAAATAAGAGGTAGGTATTGTCATAAATTTTACAGATGAGGAAAACTTGGCACAGTTCTCACCATTTTTAGACGAAAGATCTCATTCTCTCTCTCTCTCTCTCCTTTCTCTGTATACGTACATAATCACAAACAATGACATTCCTTGCTATTCAAACTATTTCTTTCTGAATGAAGAAACTAAATATATTGAGGTGGTTTTTTTTTTTGGTATATAGGACCGGTATTTCTTGCACCCTGAACTCTCACTACAAACTATCCAAGCTTAGGGACCAAAGAATAAATAGGTTATGTTGCAGAATTCATTATCTGAACTTAGAAACCAAATAGACTCCATATTTACATTAATGCTGTCACAAATATTAAGATCTGAGCCCACAAGTAATGTTTACTTGTATCAGTGTGCTAAATTGAAGTTCAGAATGAACACTCAAACCTAGTGGCTCAATGAGAACATACAAAAATGGAGATTTCTCTACATATAAGCAGAGTATTTTTGCCAACATTGCTAAATTATAGTTTTGCTCCATGCATTCTCTTGCTGCCTTCAAGTCATGCCCTCTAATCCACACCGACCAATAAAACAAAATTGAGAATACATTTTTCAAGGCTCTCTGAAAGTATAAAACCATTATTTTGACTTTTCAAAAGAAGGCTACATTTTCATACTTAAATATAGTATTTAATTCTTACTCATCTAAATCCTCTTTTCACCAACTGGAAGACTGAGAGTGAGAGTCATACAAGTTAACTGAGCATAATTCATAATCAGAAAGTAGAAGAAATGACTTCTGACTTCCAGTGTGTGACAGAAAAGCCATACCCCAAAGGCAAGTTATGTTATTGAAACTTAGTATGTAGACGAAGTAGTAGTATGGATTAGGATTTAATATCCAGTTATATTTTAAACAATTTTGGACTCATTTTCTTCCTCATAACTTTATCATTCAGCAAGTTTCTGTTGATTCCTCCATGAAACATAGAACTAAAAAATAAAAACCTAATAGAGGACTGTATCAGAGAACAATGGTGATAATAAAGCAAAAACTATGTTCAATGATCACATGCCGTTTATAAATTGTATCTTTATATATCACCTCATTTGATCCTCACAAAATGTTTTGTGAATTAGAAAATTCAGATTATACCTCTATTACTAAAAATACTGAAATTTAGGTAATCTGAAACACTTCCTATAAAAATATTTATGAACTCTGGATGCATTCTTTAGAATAAACAAATGACATCATGGTATCTAAAACAGTGGAAGCTTTGGAGCGGGGACAGTTGATGGGAAGTGATTGCAGGTCAAGAAAAGGATGTGCAGGGCTAGGCCATTAGAGGAGAGTTTTGTCTGTACAAGAGTGTGAGGTGGAACTGGATCTCTTGGATCTGGGACCCTCAGTGAAAGTGTGGACCAGAAGAGGGTACCAAGAAGCACAAGGAACAGACCGAAATATTTGTCCTCATTCCTTGCTTATGGAGAGAAAAAAATGCTTCCTCTTGGAAATTATAATCGTGGGTTGCCCACATGTAAGTTTAGACTTTGAATTTATATTCAGCATAATCAGAAGAGTATTAACCTAAAAAATTGACATATGGTATTGGGAACTCAAGGCATCAATGAAGTTTTGGGGGCATTCACAAAAGGAAAGACAAAAACCTCTCTGATGGCTCATGTCCTTACAAGTGGCCATGTGAGATTTAGACAAATGAAGTCCTGCTGAATTTGAGTTCATAATCAAATTCTAAAACACACAAGCAGCCCATCCACAGAGAACAAGAGTCAGCAGACAGAAGAAACAGACTAACCCTCGGTTTCCGCCTCAAATCAGCAATAAATCTATTGGATAAGTATTATGAAGCAAATATGTTCAAAATGACTAAATACACATAGCAAATAACAAGGAGAAAATATTACTATCATAAAAGAAAAGCAGGTGACTTATTGTGGGAAAAGGAGCAGAAATAATTTTTCATATTCTTCCTGCTAAATGCAGTTGTAACAATGGACATATCTATAAAACAAACACTATAACACTCTGCGAGTTGCTGAGAAGAAGACAGAGTGGATAGGGATGCAAAAAAACATGACCGAAGAAGCTAACAGCTCAGAGACACTAATGAGAGCAGAGACATAAGGGAAGTCTACATGGTGCCCTAGGGCAGAGGGGAAGTACCAAAGGACGGCCAGTACCAAAGGAAGGTCGATCCTGAAAGGAGTTTAGACTCGAAGGAGAAGGTATGGTTCACCTCACTGGTTAGTAAATATATTCATGAACTGGACTGGAGCTGGTCTCAAACTGCTGGCAAGCAATAGGCCACCCATTTGCAGATGGGGGACTGGGTCATCAGCAACTGGTGGGGTCTGCGTGTAATGGGAGTCTAGGTGCTGGCATGGGCAGGGACCCTAAAGAGTAAAGGTCCAAGGTTCCTCTGTGGAGAGCACTATGGAAAGGTTATCACTAGACTGTGGCTGCA